CTGAAGTCAACAGCTTCTGATCTGTTTGGCTTCTCGTTAGTAATCTTTTTACTCTTCTACGGGGGCAGTCGTGGGCTGGAGGTCTGAAGTGTGACCTTCTGGATAACAAGAATGAATGAATGGCTTGAAACTAATCCTGCATTTTACAGCAAGAACACCACTCCAACATTCACGCTTGGGGGCGGTAGTGGGTCAGTGTGGGGATGTTTTGCTGCATCAGGACCTGGACAACCTGCTATTATTGAAGGATCCCTGAATTCTGTTCTCTACAGGGAATTTTAAGTGGACTGTCAGTCTTCTTAAGTGTCCAGTCAAAATGCTAACTTGAACCCGGGAATAATTTCTAGAGACAGACAGACAGACAGACAGACAGAAAAACAGACAGACAGACAGACAGATAGACAGACAGACAGACAGACAGACAGATAGATAGACAGACAGACAGACAGACAGATAGATAGATAGATAGATAGATAGATAGATAGATATTCAGCCAATATCAGTCACACAAAACAGGACAGTTATAATACTGTTTTTTATTAATGATGTCAGATATTTTCTAAAAGCTTGATGTTTTGTTCTCAGAATCTTTGCTGTTGAATTTCTGTCTTTTTTAAAGATGAATATGAGATTATTTTGTTTCTTATTACAGTCTTTGCTGTTTTCCACAGAAGTGTTGGTTTGGTGTTTGGACAGTCTTTCACTTCCATGAAGGATGTCCACTCCCTCCTTAGGAATGTGTCAGATTCTGGGTCTTTAAGTAAAGATGGATTAAAGCACCACCTGGTTATGGTTTGTGGAGCTGAATATTCTTTAGTGTGGTCACTAAAACTTATCGGAGACATTTTGGTGTTTGTAATTTCTGATGTAAATGAATTACTTGTAAGAAATAAGTTAATACATGAGAAAGAGGTGTGAAGTGGAGAAAAGTGTGAATATTATATTTTGAGTGGGCTACATAACCACCAATTTTCATTGAGGCCAAAGAATTTCCATCCAAAATGCTTTATGGTGAAATATTTTCCTCTTGTTTGGATTTATAGTGACTCTGTTACTGTTGAGCATCATTTTTATAATTTGGAAAGTATTTTTAGTGAATATTAAGATTTCACTCTTTTCAGCTAAAGGGAAAAGTTGTTGATCATGTTTATGTTTATGTTTATGTTTGGTGTCAGATTTTAAAGATACTGTGTCTTTTCAATGCAACACTTTTCTATCAGTGTTTGAAATGTGCTGAATCTGATGTGTTTGATTATGTGCTGCAGTTAAAGCTCTGCTGAAAAACACCACCTTGTAGCCTCTGTTTTATCATCTATAGGCTGATCTCAGACTTGCCTTTCATATCAGATTTAGAGGAGGTTTTTTGCCGACCTTGTGCAGATTTATTTGGAATCCAGCTGGGTATGTAAAGTTTTTAAGTCTTGATGTTGAACATTTCATAGCACAGAAACTGCAGTGTTTAAGGTGGTAGATGATCTTTTATTGAGTGCCTCTTTTGATGCTGTTGATCGTGCAGCACCTGCAGGTCAGAGGGGTTTCAGTCACTGTATTTCACTGGTTCAGTTCCTGTTTGAACTGGGCGTAAAGAATGTGCAGCCTTGAGTGACCATTCCTCACCTTTTAGTGTTGCTACTTCAGCTGTTTTCACTTCAAGACAGATTTGAAAAGATGGAATTAACAACATTCTTGTAATTGATCACCTGAAATCACCGGCATCTTGTGTGAGGAGTCTTAGGATTAAAGTGGACCTACATTGTCATTTGCTTCCCATATTCTATATACATTCTATACAGAAATACTCTATTTGTAGAGCTTAGACAGAGAAACACTGTGAGACTCAGGGCGTCTCTGACTCGATGTGAGGCTGAGAAGCTGGTTCATGTGTTTGTGATTTTGCTGTGATTTCTGGTCTTCAGTATAATTACAGGATCTCCTTCTTCCTCATATGTATGTTAAGGTTACACTGAGGTCTGGATCCTCAGATCTGCTGGTGGTTCCCCATAAGTTAGGTTCCTTGAGTGACTGTGCTTTAACTGTATTGGGTCCATGATTGTGGAATGAGCTTCTTAAGTCTCGTAGAACTTCTGAATCTTTACCACTTTTTAGGACAAATTTAAAGACTTATCATTTTACACATATTTGTACTGTATTGTTGAAGTAGTCCTGATTTTTGTTTTGTTGTGAGATTTTATTTGTATTTTACTGAAGTTATATTAATATTATAGTGATTATTTTTACTCTTGTGTTGTTATTATTGTTATTAAATTGATGTTAGATTATTTTTATTCATGTTTTCTTATTAAATAGATGTTATTTTTTGTATTTTATTTGTTTTATCTTCTGTGAAGCACTTTGAGATGACAGTGTCATGAAAGTATTTACAGTGATGTAAACTGCATTATGATGTGCTACACTGTGTTGAATATGGTGGGTCTGTTCTGCAGTTTGCTGAATGGTTGAGTATTTTCATGGTGTCAGTTTCAGTTTTTCCATTGTAAATATTTTTCACTGAGCTTTCAGAGTTAAAATGACAATATTAATTCAGTTCATCTTCAGCTGTAGAATTCCTGATTGTAGAGTCCAGTGAATTAACCAGTCAGTCTACTTTAGAGCCATGTGTGCTGAGACTCTCAGGTCGTTTTAAAGTTGGTGTTTCATCTGTGCTTGGAGAGTCTTTGAAGTCATGAATGTCAGTCGGTCATCACTGGATGTGTATCTTTTAAACATTATTGGTGCTTATTGTGAAAAAGTGCTTCACCATTAATGAACTCAAACAGACCCCCTGGTTCCTATCACCACCACTGTAAAGACATCTGAGCCATTTCACACCAAACCTCTCTGAATCTCTCTGATTACATCCCGGTTTCTGAACTGGGCAAAACAGTGAAACATCAGTGGAAGTTCCCTTTAAAAGGACACTCCAACCAAAATTTAAAATGTATCAAATCTCTGTTGTAAACGTGCTTATTCTCTTTTACAGTCGTGCCTCAGTGGTGTCTAAGCTGAGTTTGCCTGATCAGGAAATCTCCTTCTGATCATGTATCTTACAAGGAAAGCAAAATTTGGAGGGTGACAACTGTTTTGTTGTGGATGTTTAGAGACAGACTGAAACTTTTTTCACTAAAACTTCAACTGAATTATTCATTTAACAAATAAAAACAGTTTGACGACCAGTTGATGTTCTTTATCACTAATGTTAACTATCACCACAGATGTGTTTATTAGCCTCTGGATCAATATAAGATAAGATAAGATAAGATAAGATAAGATAGTCCTTTATTAGTCCCACAACGGGGAAATTCTCAGTGTTACAGCAGCAAAGGGAGAGAAAGACACTCAAGAAAAAGAAAAGAAGTAACAAGAAGATAATTAACAAGCAAGTAATTAACTTTATTAAGTGCTTAACAAGCTTTTTTACAGTTTGTTACTTGTTACTTTATAGACAATAAATATAATTCGAAAAATAAAAAATAAGATAAAAATAAACTCCATCCTTCACAAAAAATTTACAATATAAAGAATTATAAATAAACAAAAAGCTAAAAAGCTGATATATTCACACTCAGCGTCCAGCAGTCAGGAGTTACTGAATGTTGTAGGGCCTCCTAAAGTATCTGCATGATTGTTGCGACCCCACAGGAGAGTCTAGGGGAGAATGGGGTCAGTAACTTATGGTTTAGACGTGATGTTTGTAGCCTGACCCAGGAAGGAGCAGGACACGAACAGGACAGCTCCTTTTCTTATTTACTGCAGCTGCGCTGTGAACCCGGATTTCATCTTAATTACAGTGCTGAGTGATCGATACTGATTCTTTATGTTCTACAGAAAAATGTAGTCGTTACTGAATCAGATCAGTTGTTTGCAGTATTGAGCTGAAAAACACTGCAGTGATTATGTTGAGCTGATAGCTGAGCTCGGGGCGTCTCTGTAAGGGGGAGGGGCCTCTCCAGATCCTGACTGACAGGTCTGAGCGCTGTGTGAAGAGCGAGCTGGATCAGCGTCTGTTCAGCTGCAGCTCCGCCGAAAGCTGTGGGTTTCTGAAAGCAGCGTTGCTCCGAGTGGAACGGTGGGGATGTAAAATAAGTTCCTGAGATCTTTCTGAGAAGATGTGTTACTAAAACACTGGTCCAGAGAGGAACTCAGGGTAGCTGAACGCTAAAGCAGCTTAGTGTTAACGTACCGGTATTAGTTTCTTTGGCGGCTCTAAATGTACAGCGTTAGCACTGAGTTTGGATATGTTTCTATAACCAGCTATAACAGGTCAGCTATAACTAGCTATAATTAGCTATAACAGGTTAGCTGTAACGCGGCACGGTGGCACAGTGGGTAGTGCTGTCGCCTCACAGCAAGAAGGGCCAGGGTCGTTTCTGTGTGGAGTTTGCATGTTCTCCCCGTGTCTGCGTGGGTTTCCTCCGGGTACTCCGGTTTCCTCCCACAGTCCAAAAACATGCAGTCAGGCTGATTGGACATGCTGAATTGCCCCTAGGTGTGAGTGAGTGTGTGAATGTGTATGTCTGTCTGTCTGCCCTGCGATGGACTGGCGACCTGTCCAGGGTGTATCCTGCCTTCCGCCCAATGACAGCTGGGATAGGCTCCAGCACCCCACCGCGACCCAGAAGGATAAGCGGTTTAGATGATGGATGGATGGATGAAGGTTAGCTGTAACTAGCTATAACAGGTCAGCCAGCAATCAAACTGGTGTTTCTGTCGGTTCCCAGTTCATAGCGTTAGCTAGGCTGTGTGTTTGCAGCGGCTGGCTAACGCTGCTCATGCCGGTTACCTATGGTAACGCACCGATTCGAACCTGTGTCTGTTAAGGCTGCACTTTAGTGATGTGCTGCTTTTATACAGCAGTGAATTGAACAGCTCTTCAGAGAGAGACATTAGTTTGCCGTTAGCGGCGCTGTGACGGTGAGGACTTTTATAGTGCAGTGAAAAAGGAAGGTTTCCCCGCGGTCTGCGATTCACCCCCACCCCGCCTAGCGCCCACCTCCCCTGGCTCACGCGAGCCTCGCGTCTCGAGCCCACCACGCCCCTCTCTCGGCCTCACTGTGCAGCAGGTTAACGCGGTTATCACCACAGCCCTGGTCATTAACAGAGGCTGGTTAACGTTCTGCAGTGGAGTTAATGTACTGAAAGAATGAGCTGAGTTCTCCTATGTTCTGTTTCTACAGGTTCTTCTGAAGATGCAGTGGAAGTGGAAGTGTTGTGAGTTTAAATGCAGTCAGAACAGACCAGGGCTGGTCCACAGCAATCAAACACTAGCACTGCACTGTTTTCACTGCTTATGTAACAACATGTCACAGAAAGTGCTGCCATACTGGTTGTGCAACACAATCAAAACTGTGCTTGGTCAGTTCGTCTTTCTTACAGACCGTTCATTTTTTGTCGTTCTAATTATGTAATTTTCCGTGTCGTTTTACTTTCCAAAAGACTGAAGGGCCAACTGATGTTCGGACACTGGTGCTCAGAGGCCTTCTAGTCATCCTCAGTGACATCTCCACAGACTTCTACACAACAGCCTTTGTAAGTAACCTCTTACTTTCTCAAAAGGACCATGACAGTGAAAATCTTGAATTTTAACCATTATTTGATCGTTCCTGTCTTCAGTAAACCCTGAGAGTTTAGTTTTACACAGTTAAAGAGTAAGAAATGGTTCAGCGTATCACTCGTACAGGCTGTCCATCCAGATAGTTTATGTGGTATTTTGTGAGATTTCCAGTCTGCCATGATCTCCTTCATCTCCCAGCACTCTGACACAGTGAGGCTGATAGGTGTTCTTTTGTGCACAATCTTAAAAATATAGTTCTTCAAGGGTTCTTCAGTAAAGAAAATGGTTCTATATAGAACCATGTACATTCAAAAAACCCTCTGCATGATTAAAGGGTTCTTGGCATTATGAAAGGGTTCTTGAGATGGATGGAGAATGTTCTGTATGAGGGTCTGTATACAACCTTTTTGAAAATGCCTCTGTATAGCCCCACAAAGGGTTCTTCTATTGTATACAAGCTTGACATCATAACAATAGAAGAACCCTGTGCTATCTAGAACCATTTTCTTTATTAAAGAACTCTTGAAGAGCCGTCTTTTTAAAGAGTGCTGCAGCTCAAATTGTTAAAAATGTACACAATGAAAACTTCATTTCAGCACCTCTTTCTGAGCTTTTTCCACCTTCTTTCGGGTGTGCCGATTTAATCTACTCCAGCAGTCATAACACCTCCTCACACCTCCCTCATGCATCTGACTCTCCCATGACTAGACTGTCTTAATGCTTAATTGATCATTAATGTTATGATTGTGCTCTTATGCTGTCAGGACTCTGATGACTCATTCTGCCACGCTGACATTGGGATCCTCCTCATTCAGCATAAAGGTGCTGAGCTCTCATCATCCCTCCATCTCAGTCCAGCCCCATTGAAGATCATCATTGAGGGACAAGTCGTGATGGACGACATTCAAGACCTGCCAAAAGCTGTGTGCATTAGGCTTGGGCTTACATATGCAGCGTATCTCAACTGTCCCAACTCTGTGAAGAACACATTCCAGTTCATCCAACAGGTTCTTCTCACACTGGGCCACGGTGAACTAAAACCCAGATTACAAACACTGAAAAGCAGCTCGCGCTGTAAATAAAAGCCAGGTCAAGTCTATCGTAAGAAGGTGTGGCTGCTTTTGGTTTTTCAAATGTTTATTTGTTTTTGTTTGTTTTTCCACTTCAACCTGGTGCCCCTGTGCTCACCATGTTGTTATGGTCCCCTCTTTGACTTCAGTCGCCTCTCCAAACCTTCACGTTTGATAAAATACAAGACGTCTCACATGGTTTCATTGCCCTCGTCACCAATCATGCAAAGGAAGTGTTTAACAGGTGCTGGTTTTTTGCATTATGTGGAACTGATTTAAGTTTAATGAGGGATATGAATGTTCAGCCACAGTACAAGATGTAGTTGTGCGCTCAGAACTGCATATTAGAGCTCAGTTGATATGATATAGTTAACACTTCATCAATCAAGGTGAAGCTTTGAAGGCTTGTATCAAGTTATAATGCGTGTCTTTGTGTCCAGTTGTTTACAGAAATATAGCAGATATTGTTCAATGCTGTGCAGGTATATTACGTCTCCTAACAAGGTGGAGTTTTAACAAGGAGTTTTAATTCTGTCTTTTGATTGACACGTTTGGTGTTGGTGCAGTAACCCATTTGAAGTGTTACCTTGCAGTGTTTTGTCAATAAATTACATTGGAACATTGAAATGTAGTGTTGAAATTCTTCCCTTCCAATTTTAAACTAAGTAGTGATAAATAATGTTATATTTATGTTATATATATATTTTTGTATGTTTAACTTAAAATAGTTATTTTGTAGAATTAAGACTTCAGAAAATAGATGATTTATGTGAACTAATGATTTTGAGTAAAGACTAATGTAAACTTGATTTGTGTGCTGCATCCAGTTAAGGTTCTGTGTTAATACAGCTTAAAGTGTTCAGTTTCACCTTGTGTAAAAACGTAAACAGTATAAGGCAGCGGGTTTCCACGCCATCTTCTAGTAGAGTCAGCTACTTTGGGATAAGAGTGTAGGGATATAGGAATGAGGTTCACTCATGCCAGGACTTTTAGTGAAAACAATACTATGTACAATTTTTACAACAACGGCAAATATGCTTGTTGTCAAAAAGAGCGGGATTCTGGACCCGGACGGCTCCAAAGGAACGAAATAATCACAACAAACAAACACAAAAAACTACCCAGCTCCTTCATTTAAATCCTCACCTACTAGCAAAAAAAACTCTACCTACACCAGTCTTCCCCATCGCTCAACATAAATACATGGGTCAGCGCCGCCCCTCACCTGAGGTGTCTGTACACTGGGCAGCTACGTGATGTAAACATGTATGAGCGCGCCCATCTACCCTGTCCAGAACCCCAAGGAAGCACAGCCGCATGAGAGAGAGAGAGAGAGACAAAGAGAGAGAGACAGAGAGAGAGATGGAGAGGGAGAGAGAGAGAGAGAGAGAGAGAGAAAGGAAAAACACCAGCCAGACACCCCTCATCCAGGCCAGACATGTAACAACAGTGCATGCTGGGTATTGTAGTGAGCCAACACTGATGGATATGAACACAAGGAGGATATGAAGTCGTGAATATTGTTACCCTAATGAGGTTGAGTGATGTAAAGCTGCACTACAGAAAACTGCACAACACAACAAACAACACACGCTGGTTAAAGTGACTCAGTGATCTAATGCAGCTCAGTTAGAGCCTCTTAGCTGCAGATATACAGACTGTATTTATCACTACAGTCATTATTTAGTCTGGAAGACTCAGGAGTGACTATTACAGAATCCTTCTCCATCTCTACAGCAGGGATTAAGCCTAGGACTGAACTAAACAGGGTTTTCAGTGAAGAGTGACCTCACATTATTTAATATTATACGGAGTCATTTTTATGGAGTTTATCATGTTAATATGGTGTATATACAGTGAGGAGCAGGTCTGCATTTTGAGTGTATTTAACAGCCACCTGGCAACTTCAAATCCCAGAAGTCCAGTGTGTTCTCTGGAGTGATGGAGCTCCATCCAATACCTTTGGGATGAGTTTGGAGATCCAGAACTGACCATCCAACATCAGTACCTGACCTCACTAATGCTCAATCAAATCCTCACAGCAATGTTCCAAAATCTACTATGAAGCCTTCCCAGAGGAGTAGAGGCTGTTACTGCAGCAAATGGGGACAAACTCTTTTTAATACTCTTGATATTGGAGGAAACATTGGAGAAGCAGGTGTCCACAAACTTTTGGCCATGTAGTGTAACTTTGAGATAAAACCTAAAGGGAAAGTGGCGTTTCAGCTGTTTCTCTTCTACCAGTGAGAGAAAATGTTCCAGTGTACACAGAACCAACAGAACGTGAGTAAAATAGTACATCATCGTGTAAACAATTAAATTAACAGTTTATTTTTATGTTATGGTTCACGTTTAAGGCGTACGCATATGTGAACACTAATGTCTGACGGCCTGTGTTACTGTATATAAACACATAAATAAAGCAGAAAACATAGTGAGGAAGAGTTAAATCACTCTGTTTATGTAGTGTGGTCAGTTGTGGTCAGACTGTTCTTGCTGACAGTCTGATCATGTTCTGGATCGTCACCTGAGGAACAGCTGCAGATCACAGTAATGAACGAGCATCACTGACCACAATTTCCAGCCCTGTTTACTGGTGTCTTTCCCACAGATCTGAATGCAGAGGTCAGTTTAGTCACTGTTCCTGTTGAATCACTGGTCAGTCTTTGTGACTGAAGCTCCTGTCATCTTTGACCCCTCTTTTAAAGTCCCCTTAGACCTTTTGCTCCTGCTCATCTTGATCCTAAATCGAGGTCAGCTGGTCCTGCTCAGCGTTTTCTACCTGCCACAGAACATGGGAGGATGTTCATAGCGTAACTCAGGCAGCCCACCAGTCTGGGAGCAGGTTTTCTTTACTCGTTTATTCAGATCGGTCCTCTGATTTGTCACTTGTCTGGACATCATTACAGACAAGTTGAGCTTCATTCCACAAACCAGGGGCTGGATTCTCAAAGCTTCATGGAGGTTACAAACAACAGCCTCTGAACCTGGAACCACCGTGACCAGCTAGTGACCGTCCCCATCCCTCAGTCTCTAAAGAAGGACTGAACATCCTGCAGTAGTGGTTTTGTAACTCCTGGACTAAACCTTAAAGAGACGGTGGCACATCAGCTGATTCACTATCTACCAATGACAGACAGGGTTAAGATACACACAGCCAATGGGAAGTGAGCGAGGAAGCCCACATGGTCCGTTTTTGCCCTCAGATCAGTGTATTTATGTCTTATATGTATCCATATGTGAAAAACACTAATTCCTGATTTATGTTACTGGATATAAATGCATAAATAAAGGAAAACACTGAGAGGAATATCTGAGCACAGCTAGGATACAGTTAAATGATAATATAATAAACAAGTTTTATTTTACACTTTATATTACTAAGCTAAATCTTTTATCACTCTGTTAACATATATATTATATTCATATATTATATATACATATTTGTATTTATTATATATACATATTCATATGTTTTTTATATTCATGTGTAAAAACATATGAATATAACAGTGAATGTATAATTACTGAAGAAATACAGAACAAATCTTTATAATGTCACTCTTTTTACTGCTATTAAACAAAGTCCCCTTTATTGTGGACTAATTTAAATATTGTCCTCTATGAGTTTTGATGTTTATCTGCTGGGATTCTGGGTCCAGATTATCAAAGCACTTAGTACAGTAATAACCCACTAGGACCTCCATCATAACTGGCTGCTCCACTGATTCTCAGAACATTTCAGGTGCTATTTTATCACCTCACTGTTCTTCTCTGGGCTCTGAAGACATGATGGTCAGGGTGGGTTAAGAGGGTCCTAAGTGCTTTGAGACTCTGGCCCCAGTTTTCAAAACAGTGGATCAAAAAAATCTAAAGCTTCAGAAAGACTCACTTCACCTGGCTGTCTGTGAACTCTTCTCTTCAACGACGCCATTTTCTTTAGGTGAGAAGCAGTGCAAGTGCGGTGAGTATTTGTCATGATTATGTGTAACGTTGAGCTGTAGTAGCTGTTTTATTAAAATATTTTGTGTAATATGGGTCATTTTGGTAAGAGAAACCTCTCCGTTTAAACAGATATTGAGATAGCACTAGTTAGCTATCGTTAGCGCTAGCTAAGTTAGCATTAGTGTTTTTCAAACGCTCTGTTTGGTCTTGGAATTCATATTTAAAGTAATTAAAATCACTTCGGTCGCATCCCATGGCATGTTGCAACCTCATGTAATGTATATTAAAATTGTATGTGCAGTTACTTAACTATATGTTTTGTGTGTTGTGTGAATTGCCACTTATGCTAGCTAGCGATAGGGCTAGGGCTTGCTGGCATAGTTGGCAATTCACCATTAAACGGTCAGTCTTTCTGAGTTTTGGGTGTAACGGTGGTATTTTATTGATAGTGCAGTTTTTAGTTAGATAGTGCAGCAATTAAATATCTTTAAGAGCCTCCAAGATGCAAGTGGTTCATGTTGTTTAATGAACTGCGTTAGCCGTTTTAACGGAGTCCACATCGGCAGGCTTAACGTAAACTGAAGACTTGTCACAGCCACAAAAGCCACTTGATTTGATGCAACGCAACAGTGCTTAATGAACTGCACGATTTCCCGTAGGACAGAAGTTGCGCATGTTCAGATGCTCATTTAGTGAATGTGGGCTGTCGAAGCAGAGAGGCGCGAGTTTGGTGAAAGTCAGTGAGATTAAGAATCGAGCTACATCCAGTTAATTATCTTAGTAAGTATGTCTTTCTAACGCAGTCTGTAAAGTGGACATGTCAGTATGTGGTTATATTTGGATATTGACGGTATTGGTGTACGTTACTCACAGAAATTTGGACTCAGCACATATAAGCTAACCAAGTTAGCTAGCTGGCTAGTGAAAACACATTTGAGTTTAAAAAAACTGTTCAATTAGGACCTGTCCACATGAATCTAGATCATTTTGAAAACGTAACTAGCTAGTTTTTAGCTGCATTGTG